TGTGCGGCCCTTGCAATAATATGTCCTGATTCACAGGGGCAACAGGAGAGTAGCCAGCAGTGTAGTATGAACCATGAATCAGCCTTGAACAGGAAAGGGGGCGTGAGAAAAAACAAAACAGCCCCTTACAAGAGGTCAAACTTTGGTCCCAGGGCAGACCTTGATTTCATGGACCAGCTTGAGTGAACATGGCAAAGTCTATGTCACTAAACAAGAATGGTTGGAAGTATGTTTGCTTTGTGAATGTACACACATAATTTCTGATAGAACCATAAAAAAATAAACAAGCTTAAAAATATGAACCTGCCTGCAGACACTTAAGAAGTGTGCTTGTGTGAACGTAGCTACATTTCAGGAGGTATTCACATCATTACCTGAGCTGTGCCCCTATCACATCAATAGCTTTGGGGGCTAATTTAGGGCTTCCAGTTTCTTCAGTCCTCTCACATTGCATAATCAATGCTCATTTTTTGGTTTGTTATTTTTCTTCACATAAATGGTGTGATTTAGATGGATGTAACTGTCATTGCCTTATAACGTAGGCAGAATCAGGTAACCTTGGACATACCATGCTCCTTTCTACTTTAAATGTATTAATCCTCTAAAACGTCATGCTCTATAGACAAATAATATTAAGAAGTACTGCCCATTTCAAAAATCCAGATATGTAAATTTTCTCTTTTGAAAATGCTAACAGAAAATACTTTCTCATGTTAAAAATAGAGTCATATGCACAAAGCAAACCTATTTCTTTTACATATATATTTAAGTCAACTGGCATGAATTATATGTAATTGGTAAGGAAATTATCTAAACCACTATTTGGCATGCATATGCCAAACTTGCCCTTAATTTAGATTCAATTACTCATAGCTGATACACGCATAATTTAATGAAGGCACAGCAGTCCCTCTACACACTCTAGTAGATTATCCAATTAAGCAATATTCACCCAGCATTTAACTATACCTTCACTGTGAATGAAATTCATTTTCTTTCATAAAATGCAGGGAAGACATAAGCAGAAACAAATCAGCAGTCCCTTTGCATTGGGAATCCCTGCTTTTGTTTAATAATGTCCAGTTAATAATTACTTTACTTTCAAATTTCTCTCCTGTTTGCCTATCCAAATTTTCCTTCTGCCTGCCTTGGCATCTCTTGTGCTCAACCCATCTATTTAGTCATTGTCCCCTCTAGTTTCATCACCATGTTATATAGCAATGTCTCTTTATCCTTGGTGAATGGGTCCATCAGGGGTGGTTAGAAATACGTGTTTATGTACTGAAATGCTCATTAATATACTTACAATTATTATGGTCTTTCAAAACTCTTTACCACCCACAACTCTTGCAGAAGAATACAGAAATGGGATGCCTATTTCCAAAACCAGTGTTGAAAGATGAATAAATAGTTATGGTGTAGTAGGAGATGGGAATGAGAGTGATTCTAATATTTTCAAGAGCCCTTTTTGTGTGTGAGAAAGTCCTCCATTAACAACTCCTGTGTGTGTGTGTGTGTGTGTGTGTGTGTGTGTGTGTGTGTGTGTATTAGCAGCAGTATAGCCTTCATTGTACCAGCAAAAGCAAACAGACCTGGCCTCAGGCAAGTCTTATTCTAATTCCTTCTACCATCCATTTCTGACAGCTTTGATCTAGCCCAAAGGAACATTCTACAAAATCCTTTACTCCTATCCTTCAAGATAAACTAATTCCCAGAATGACTCCCTTAAACTTATTTCAACCCATCCATTGAAAGACTCTTCTAAAATCCAGAAAACAAATTAAAGAGCAAGAGATTTCAAAGAACAGAAAGAGATGAATAAGGACAAGATAAATAAATGAAATATTTGTGGGCCAATACTGTTTGCCTAGGACTAGACAGAGTTCTGCTGAAATACAACACAAACCTATCCCACAGAGGAAGCTCGGGTAGGTGTGCAGGAAAACATAAAAAGGAGGTCAGAGGACGAGCAACTGGATGTGGACTCAGATCTGACCAACTGACGAAGATTTTTTCCCTATGGAAATAAGAGACATCTCCAAAGGATACAAATCCTTTTCAAAAATGTTATATCTACCTTTACATATTCCAACCATTCTAGTGTTAGTTTTAAGTAAATTCATTCTTAAAGAAAAAAATAAAAACTAGATAGATCCCTTTTTGAACCTACTACAAAATCCTATGAGATTCATTAAAATATCAAATTATTAGCTCATAACATTCTGGAAAGCACACTTTTGTGTGCCAACCACATTAGTATTTCATGAGTCTTATGCTGGGGAAATGGAGAAACTGATTGTCTACAAAAAAAAACAAAAACAAATTGTGGCTGGTTCCACTGCTCCTGGTTCTCTGCTTATTCTGCCTTCCCATATCCAGATGCCTCTATTTCCTTCATTATTTTCTCTTCCTGCTCCTCTTTCTCTTTCCCTGCCTTTCCTCAACTAGGACTGACATCTGCCTGTGGGACCTAGTCATGTCCTGAGGCTCATCAGAATGACTCCAGATTTTTTACGTTCCTCACTATTGACATTTAGGGCTGGATACGCCTTTTTGTAGGGGACTGCCCCATACATTATAAGATGTTTAGCAGCATCTCTGGCTTCTACTCAACAGAATTCAGTAGCACCTCCTCCCCTAATAATGACACACAAAAATGTCCAAATTGCCAAACTGCCTGTATGAGGGGGAAAACCTCCCCTAGCTGAGAATCACTGGAACGGTTGAATTTGCTTCACTTCTTACCAACTTTAGGACTTAGGGTTAACAAGGGATATAACGAAGACCAAGAGGGAACAGAGAAAAAATTAGCTCAAAAAGCATCTATATCAAACAGGGAGGCAAGGTCTAATTTCTTTATAAATTCTAGATTATCTGCCAACCTCAGGAGCATCTGTGAACACAATGCACTGTGCTTGTCTAAATTATCGGTTACGGGTTACATGAGATTCCATTCAGATGGAGGGGCCTTCGTGTTTTGCCCTGAGAGACGGTGTCAGCTGGAATTTTGAGCAGGCTATAAATATCCAACACACTCTTGTACAACCCATCATGCCTTGTTAGGTTAATACAAGGTGTCACTTCTGAGCCTTAGTGCTTTGTTGGCAATTCACCATGAATTTGGGAAAGGAAGAAACCACGATGCTCAAATGACTAGAAACCACCACTAACAAGGTGTCGTGGGCTCTTGTACTCCTTTCTGAATGCTGGGTTTTTCTTGAGTTCCCTCTAGCCTTAGAAAATAGCCAGCTAAAATCCCACCTGCAAATCAGTGAGCTGAGAGGAATTTCTCAAGTTTTTAGACTTGCTGGCATTTATTCGTTCGATCACAGTTAGTTCTCCACGCATATTTCGTGCCACCTCATACAAGAAAGTTTGTTTAAAAGCATGTAAGGCTTTTTGTGGTCCACGTTTCTGACTGGCTTCTCCTACGTCACCCTCTAACTCCCACTGAGACAGAGATTCTGATATGATGGGCTTCTGCATTAGGAAACAAAAGATTTAGTATTACATTGCCTGCCGGTGGGTTTTGTCACTTTCTGCATAAAACTAATAGCACCTCTAGTCCATGTATTGTATATGCATCCTCAGAAAAACAGACAAATCGGTCTGCATCATCTCAGCCTCTCCACAGCATTTGACACATTTCATTACTTCCTTCTTCTTTGAAATACGTTTCACTCTTTTCCTATCATAACACCACCTTCTCCTTAATTCCAGTTTTCCTGCTGCTCATCAGTTTCCATGACTCTTCTTTTTTTAAAAAAAAAAATATCTTTTGTATTTATTTATCTTTATCATTGAAAGTATTACATGTCTCCCTTTTTCCGTATTGATCCCTTCGTGCCCATACCCCACTCCCCAGGCCTTCACCATACTATTGTCTGTGTCAGCCAGTTTCAGGGTAAATTAGGCTGCCTTGCTGAGGGTACAGGGTGTCCATTTGCAAGGGAAGGAAGCTTCCTAGAGGCTACAGGTATAGGGTTGTAGGAAATGTTGTTCTGTTGTTTATGCAAAAGGATGCTAAACTGAAAGTTTTAGGTATAGCAAAATAGACACCAAAACCTCCAGGGAGGTGCTAATCCGGATTTACAAGTTTAGACATATTTAAACCCCTCCTCCAAGTGGATGCAGAAGGGCATAGGAGAGGAGTTATTTGGAGGGAGTCACTGGCATGCTCTGACTCCCACACCCCCCTCCCAGCGGCAAGTTCATGGGCCCTCGCAGTTCAGGTGACACTGTGCACTGGGATCTGAGTCCTGCCTGAGAAATCTAATGGGAAGAGGATGGCCGGGCAGGCCTGTGCAGGACAGTAGAGGTGGGAAAGGGCTGGAGGAAACTGAGCACACAAAGACTGTTTAGGCGAGGACATCTGAGTGTTCTGCATGGACTGGACGCAGGTCATTAGAGAGAGGCCGGGTTCATTGGATCCTGTCCAAAAGGCCAGAATGGGCTAATCAGATTGCATTTTAGAATGTTTGCCTGATGGTTGAGGGAGGCAGAGAATTCACTTGCCTGGGAGTAAAGGAGAATTGTACAGCCCTGGTTGCTAACATCTGTCATCTTGGACCAGGGAAACATCTAGTCAGAGGTGAAGTCCACAGAAAAGAAGAACAGAGCCAAACGACCAGCAGAAAAAGGACACATGAAACATGGCCAAATGGCACGTGAAATCCACCCTTGATCTGAACTCTTCGCTGATGTGAATCAATAGACTCCTGCCCTGTCAAGTTAGAGTTGAGTTTTCTAGCATTTGGCACTGAGAAACCCCTTCATTATACAGTCTTTTCTAAATGACCTGGGAGAAAAACCACAGCCCCAATTTGAGCGAGACGAAGAATGTCCAAAACCAAAAAAAGGCTAAGGAATCACAATGCCAACTTCACTAGGTTCTCAGCGTAAACCCTCTCTCTAGGGAAGATGTGGACTCTAATCCAAATGAGACGTTCAACTTCTTTGGGCCAAAAGGCAAGAAGCAGGGAGAGTCAAGTATGTGTTACCTGGTAATGAACTCTGTGGGAGCCAGAAGAAACTGATTGCAGGTCCTAGTGAGAAAATGGAAAAAATATAGTTTGAATAAGCTGCTGCTACAACTCTACCCCCTGAACTCCCAATTTAATATTATTCAAGTCATCTGGAAAGTATCTAACCCACCCAAACTCCTCAAGGTTAAACAAAGAAGACAATGCCAAAAATAATAAAAGCACACCAAGCTGGGCTGAGAGAAGAAAGGCCATTCGGCTATAGAAACTTTTAAACAGTGTTTACAGGTGACTGATATATTACAATTCCAAGGAACAAGAAGACCAAAAGTAAAAGACAGCAACTTTGTTCTAGTAAGTGGGGTCGTGTTTAATTTGCAGCTGATCTTTTGGCTTGTGAAGAAAGCTTCTAAAAGTCCCCCTTGAAGCACTCAGAAAGAATTTATTTATCTTAGACCAAATACATACTGTCCTGGTAATTGTGTTTATACCGATAAGTTGCTTGGCAAACACGGGTTTTCACAGACCGCAAAGAGAAAATCGCCGGAGCTCCTCCGCATTAACACGGAGAGCAAATTCACAGGGTTGAAATTAATGAGGTTTTACTGGCAGATTCTGAGAGCCTGGCTCCCTTTATAAAGTTGTATAACTAAGTTGTCGCCATCGTCATGTCCCGCAGGCTTCTTTGTTAATGAGTGTATTGCTTCTATTCACAGATGTCAGCAATCCTGGGTAACTTTGTTCTCATACCTGCTTCCCACTAGGATTCATCAACTTTCTCTCTGTGCCCAAGGTAGTTTTAAAATGTTGCCTCTATGACTTCACTCTTTCCCCCCCCTTTTTTTTGAATCCCACTTCTTGTGGAATATTGGTGTAATGAACATGGCAATAAGTTGATTTTCAACAGTTATGTATTTTAGCTACTGTGAAATCTTGTTACTCAAGTGTTAAGGAAAAAAAACATTTAGTAGCATTTATGATTAACTTTCGATTGCAGATTTATTGAGTGTGGTTCCACAATAAAATACAAACATTATTTTGAAAAATGAGATGCAGTGTCCCTGAAATATTGATTTGGACCTGAGTCACATGCCAAAAAGTTCACAAATTTTAACATGTTAAAGTTATCCTTGATAAAAAAAAAATAGCCAAGGAAGTAACAAGTATAAAATTTGTTGACTTTTCTTCTCTCCCCCTTATCAGTATTCAAAATGTAGCATGTATCCCAAAATATTTTGCACTCACAATTTCTCTATCCTTAACAATGCTGAAGAGAAAAATTAATAATTTTTCACATTACTTTATGCCTCCTACCTGAATTTATTTCAAGAGAAATAAAATCCAATGTTTAAAGCGAAGTGGCTTCAACTTGATAGAATTTTAAACACTGTATATCTTCTTTATTTGTGACATTTATGTATGCATAATGTGTTGTCTGAAAGAGAGTTGCTAATTTGGGGGTACCTATGAGAATCACCCGATAGCTTTAAAAATATAAATGTCTAGACCACATCCAAAACAACTGATTCTAATGTGCATCTTTAATCAAGAAACAATGATAAAGAAGGAGCTTTTATGCTCTTTACCATTTGTAAAATAAAGGAAGTGACTACTCCCCTCAAAGCTTTATAAAAGTAACCAATGATCACTGCAGTGAGGGGGCTGGGGCTCCTGGCTTTGCGGGTGCAGTTTAAGTTCATGGGAAGGTCACACATGAGATCTCTTTCTCTCTCTTTCTCCCCAGTCAGTGTATGTGTAGGAGGCAATAATCAATCTTTCTCTATGGTAAGACCAGATTGAGAAAAAAATAGATTATTCTTTTGTGTTCTGACACAAGTTTCTATGAAATATAGAAAGTTTTTCTTTCCTGTACAATTTACTTTTTTTTAAAAAAAAAATCTGTCTCTGACAAAAGTCTCTGCTAGAGACAAAACATTAAATAAGCCCAAACCTCTGTTTTCTTTCATTATTTATGAGTGCCCTTTGAAATTCTGCAGAGCTCAAAATTACAGGGATGTAGTCTGGCTACGGTTCCAAGCTACGGTGTGGATCACAGGAGAACAACACCACCCTATAGTTAACCCAATCGATCCTTTGCCATTTCGCCACCTGAGCAGGAAAACCCGTGGTGTGTGATTAAAAGACAAGGCCGCCACATTTCCATTTCCTCCCCACGTGCATCATTTCAGAAACAAATGAAGATGGCTGGGAACTGTTTACACAAATGAAACACTGAGCAAAATGTATACCTGACTATAGCCACTCACCTCCTGCAGGCGATCTATGTACATACGGCAAGTCTCCAAGTCACAGTCTCCACGCACAACTAGAATACCCAGAGGAATGGCTAAGGGGGGAAGGAAAGAGAAAAGTCTAGAATAAAATATTTGATTTTTCTAGATTGGCATACATGTGTTTCTGAGGGTTTAAAAAAAATCTCAAAAATATAATTTTTCTTTTGGATAGTTCAATCCAAACTTCTCCCTATACCTCCTTTCTGACCCCAATCTCTCCATTTCTGCAGTTGGCACACTTTTTTTTAAATTCCACGTCATCCCCTGACACCTGGCCAGCCTTCATTTCACTTCTTCTCATTGGCTCTGCTTTGAAGTGCAATGTCATGGAAACAGTGGATTGGCAGGACCGGGCAGCTGCTCACAGCCAGCGGATAACATATGCCTCCATTTGTAATAGCCTAAGTACCAGAGAGGAATGAAAAAAAAGGCATGATCCTGGACACTTACTTCTTTGTGTCCAGTATGGGGTTTAATATTTCTGTTTGCAATAGTTCGCAGCCTGAGAGACTCACCTACTCAAGGCACCATTACTACCTGGTGGCCAAAAGCAGACATAATGTTAAAGAAAAAAAGAAAAAAGAGAGAGAAAAGAAAAGCTTCTAGAACGTAAACAGCTTAAAAATCCAACTGATCTTGCCCTGGCCAGTTTGCTCAGTGGTTAGAGTGTCAGCCTGCACACCAGAGGGTCTCAGGCTTGATTCTGGTCAAGGGTACATACCTGGGTTGCAGGTTCGATCTCCGCCCCCAGTCAGTGTATGTGTAGGAGGCAATAATCAATGTGTTTCTCTCACATTGATCTCTCTCTCTCTCCCCCTCCCTTCCTCTCTTCCACTCTTTCTAAAAATCAATAGAAAAATATCCTCACTCCTCAGGTGAGGATTAAAAAAAAATTCAACTGATCTTAAAGATGGTCAGTTTAAATGTGGTAGCAGCAAGTCTGCAGGAAACAATAAAGTGAAGCTACTAAGTACCTTAAACGCCCTATTTTGGCGGAGACAAATGTCATACCATGGCTTTATTGGACAGAACATCCTACTTCAGAAATAACCATAAGATTCCTGAAATACTGAAAAATTATCTTCTTCGCAAAACTTCAAAAAATGCATGTGCTTATTTCTGATTTTAAAAGTACAATTACACTATTAAATCCATGATTTAATAAGAAAATCTCAAAATCTTGAATTAACCAGCTAAACACCAGCAAGCAGATGATATGACAGTAGGACTCACTAAAGATTTTTTAAAACCTTTCACTCATTGAATTTATTTTTAAAGCCTAATCACCAATAAATGGATTTGAAAACGCTTTACAATTTAATAATATAGATAATAAAATACATTTAAAGTGCATGGAAAAATCTTGAGGAACTCACAGAGTAGTAGAGAAGGCATACATATAAATAAAAAATAATGATAATCTAACATAAGCTAAAGTAAATATGTGAACTTAGTCATTTGAAAACTGTAGAAGAGAGGGACTAATTCTTGCCTAAAAGTCAGATTTTAGGCTTTTTGAAGATATGAAGCCACATTAGGTTTTTCAGTTAGAGGAGCAAGGGTGATCGAGGGAAAAAGAAAAGAGTCTATTTCTCAATATTACCTCCCAGATTGGTTTCCACTAGAGAGATCAATACCCTCCCATTCCTGTAGCTTCCCAAAGTCTTGCTACATAAAGCTTGAAAGCAGCCGTCATCTTTACAGTGATGTGTAAGCCTGTGAATGAGTATGGGCTCTCCCATCAGAAATAAGGCTTGTTTACCTTTACTGCTCCAATGTCTGGTAGATGTTCAATAAAAGCTTGTAAAAAGAGGAAGGAAGAGAGGCTTAGGACCTGTTCAAGTGTGAAAGGGAAGTGTATCTTTAAGGGCTGAGAAAACTTTCCAGGATAGGCAAAGAAGCAAGGGTTTGGAGAAGGAGGAGAGAGTATGCATTGGGTTGGAGCTTGCCTTTGTCTGTTCTTCTCAATACTAAGCAAGAGAGGCAGTAAGCAGAGGGGCAGGAACCCTGAGACTGTCATATGTTTGAGATATAATAATCTGGAAAATACTTTTCCCTCTTTTTAAATATAAACAGAAACATTGAAAAAGTCTTCAGTTGGATAATCATGCATCTTTGACAGAAATGGAAGGGAAGCACCATAAGGAGATACTTTAAAGAACTGATTAAAGTAATCATCTTTAGCTAGACTACTAAATAGATCCAAATAAGGTGATCCACTGAGGTAAGAGAAGAATAAGGATTTATAATAACTAGTCCATAAGGAATGATGAGGAAAAGCTACAATTTTGGCCTAAAATATAAGTCAAAGTTTGTGGCAGCAGAATATAGTAAAAATTAACATGAGAGCCCACGTTAAAATCTTGCTTAAGGATATCTTCTTTTAATTTCAAATGTGTAAATGTAAAGGAATAAAATTTAATCAATATTTAACTATTTACTTAAATTAGGAGACATTCTATAGGAACACTGGAATCCTGTCAACACCCCTGATTTCCTTCTATTATCAACCCTTGGGTTAGTCTGCTCATACATTCAATGTACTTGGTAGCAGATACTTTAAATTACAATTAGACAATGGATATTTCAGACGTAGAATCAAGAAGGAATAGCCAGGGAAAGTTTTCAAAGATGTGTCATTCACTTCTACTACGAGTATAAAATCAGCAACTTTGCTTGTTCCTCAAGAAGCTTATTAAGAGAAACCATACTTTTTATTATTAGCTATTTACTGGCATTTTTTTTAAAAGGCCTCCTCTACCACAATGTCACTGCATGATTACTGACAATTGTTCAATGTATCCAGTGTGTGGTAGAAAGGATTTACAGCCATTCTCTCTGTAAATCCTCACTGATTTGGTCTTATGAATTACCCACGATAGCTATTTGGTCATGCAAGTTACTCAATTCCTCTGATCCTTGGATTGAAGACTATGGTCAGTAGGTATCTTCTAGGACTTTGTGACTATTAAATGCAACACTATATCTAAAGATGAATAACCAAAACATCGATTACTTCTTCACTCCCTTGACTCCCTTTCGAGCATCTTTAGCTAGAAAATGGATTCACCCAATCATCTATCTTTTAATTTGTCATAATACTATAAAGGGTAGCTGGTAATAGTTCTGTAAGTTATATTCCTGCTTACTTAAAACTAACTTCTACTTTTCTGCAATGGGAAACATAATTGTAATGTAAAAATACTGTAATCTGACATTTCCATTGGGGGCTTTACATGGTTAAGAGGAAGCAAAAGTTGTAGGAAATTACCACCTTCCTTTTCTCTTTGTCCCTACCCAGTTGGATCAAATGTGCTTCCTAATTTCTAGTAACTGTATTCCTTGGCTGGTTGAGGACAAATTTCTTTCCCTTACCTATACCCTACCTTTCTTATCCTAGCTTTCTTATTCACTTCTCTGTCCCTCCTATCAAACCATGCTCTCTGATGATTCTTGATTCTTGAGTATAAATGACTAATAATTGATTAAAGTGTTAATCCTCTAAGGAGCACTTGAGTTTTAACATGTCTGACATTTGAGCTAACATAATTGTCACAGGCAGAATTTTGTGTGCCCCCAAAACTGATATGTTGAAGCCTTAACACTCAAAGTGATGGCATTTGCAGATGCAGCCTTTGGGAGATAATTGGGGTTAGAGGAAGTCATGAGGGATGGGACCCTCCTGATAAGGTTAGTGGCCTGATAGGAAGAGATACCATAGAGTTTGCACTTGTGGGCACTCTCCCCCCCCCCCCGCCGCTACCATTTGAGGACACAGCATGAAGGTTGCCATCTATAGCCAGGAAGAGAGCAATCACCAGAAACCAAGTCAGCCAGCACCTTGTCATGGACAGTCCAGCCTTCAGAACTGTGAGAAAATAAATGGTTTAAACCACGCATGCTATGATATTTTGTTATGGTAGTAACCCTAGCCAACTAAGACAATGATAAAGCTTTGATAAATTTAGGTACAGAAAAATGAAAGACATTGTGCAATTAACTGGCGATCCTCGGCCCTAAGAAAATGATCCTACCAATTACATCTAACCAGCCAAAGCATGAGCCTTGATCTGGCTCCCCCCTCAGGCTTGACCCAACCTCAATTAACCCCTTTTCCCTATTTCAGTTTATATAAATGCCGCATAATTCAGACTGTGATTAAGTTAATTGGTTAAGAGCTCCATTATATATTTTATATGTGCATGCTCTGGATTTTATGTGTGAAATAAAATGCCAACAGGTCATACAAATTAATTTGGCCTTTTATACTTGAAGTTAGGACTACTTGGACTCATTATGCAAATTTATGCCAAACAGTGCATAAATTAACATCATTCATCTTCAACAAATCCAAAATCTTCTAGCAACCACTCCACAAAAATACTGTTATCTGTAAAATACTTCCAAAGTACATGCACTAAAATAAAGTATGGTTTCTAAACTATAGATTTCTCCACAAATGATAAGCAGAGTCAGGGAAGAGACCAAGCTCAGGTACCCTACATATGGGTTTGAATTGCCCAAAACTTTAAAAACCAAAGTTTTAAAAAGTTATGAAATTGAAATTTCTTAGAGTTTTTTTAACATGAGTTTATTGATTTTTAGAGAGAGAGGAAATGAGAGGGATAGAAACATCTGGACAAAAATCCTACACCTATGGATGAGGACAGTGGGGGCAGGTAAGGGCAGAGGGTGGGGGTGGGAACTGGGTGGAGGGGAGTTATGGGGGGAAAAAGAGGAACAACTGTAATAATCTGAACAATAAAGATTTATTAAAAAAAAAAAAACAGAATCATCAATGGCTGCCTCCTGCACGCCCCCTACTGGGGATTGAGTCTGCAACCTGAGTATGTGCCTTGACCGGGAATCCAACCAGCTACCTCTTGGTCCATGGGTTGACACTTCAACCACTGAGCCACACGGGTCAGGCTAGAGTTTTTTAAGAAAACCTGAACAATGTTTTACAGAGTTGGAGGTATGATGCAGAAGACAATCAAACAATTTCAAGTGAATTAATTATTTGACTGAAGAAAAACAAAAGACCCTCGTGGAC